GCATTAAGCATTGCGCATGGCTTTTGATGCAATGAGAGTGAAGTTCCCAGAGCCAGCCATTTCGTGGAACCAGCGGGCGACACCATCTTCCACAAAACATCGCGATCTTCTCAGCGAAAAAACAATCTTCTCAGCGAGCATAGCCGCAGCCAGGAGGCGTATGGCCATATGAGTCATGGCTCCAATGACATAGAGCCTTCCAACTGATCCCACCTAAGTGGGAGGTGGAAGCTAGTGACACGTATTTAGCTTCTCAGGTTGCTGAAGCAACATCCGCCCAGTGGTCAGCCATTGATCATTAACATTCGCAAAAGCTATCCAAAGTCCAAAGTGCTATTGAATTATATAGTATATCTATAGTATATATTATTATATATATAGCTATACTTATATAGGTCTATACTATAGGTCTATACATTATCATTTTTGCTCACCCCCCCTGGATGCCCTGTCGTTCGACTCCAGGCACGAGCTCCTCTGCCGCTTCCTTCCCCACGATCCAATCCAGCACATAGGGCAAAATCAGCAGTGGCAGGTTTCCACCAAAGCCCTCGACCACGTCAGAGAGCAACCTCGGAACGTTGATCCACATGTTTGGTAAATCCGTGGATCCATCGACATCATTGACCTCCTGTTCCATCTTCTCGATTGCTTAAAGGAGCCCCGCATGGGTCCGGAGATCCCTGTTGAACCACAGGATGCGCCGAAGCCGAAACGCTCTGAAGCACTGGCTAGTCAAATGATCTGGATCAAAAGGTGTCAGGATGACGATGGTGAACATGATAGCATGATGATTCCCTCCAGCGGAGAGGAAAAATAGGCGATACCTCACATGCCTTTTTCTATGCCACTCTTTAAACCGCCACAGTGACCATCCACAATTGGGATCACCGTGTAGGACTGGGCTTTGGTTCGTACTCTAACCCGGCGACAACATGGGATGGTCATGCGTCTCAGCCCATCCTATACTCATGCCCAGTCGCAAAATGGAAAAAGGAAAATTGCCTCAGCTGGTCACGAGAGTCAGGATCGGATCCGGAGGAGGCCATTCATGATGGCCATTCCTCCTTCATGACCATGGCCTCTGAACCGTCCGCATGAACATATAGGTCTACAAATGCTTCTCTTGGACACATGAATAGACAAAGAAAGACTAGAAGATACTGGAAAGGCGGACAAAATGACGTAAAGAACGTCATCAAACGACCATCTGTTCGTGTCAAGCCCTACACATGTTCATGTCAAGTCCCAAGGGTTCAAAGGGCCCGAAGGGCGCCCGAAGGGCCGGGCATGTGAAGCGGACATGAAGCGTCCGGTTCACGTGAACCGTGGCAAACTGACCGAACTCAAAGACTCATGTAATGTACCTGGAATGGCATGGAATGGCTAGTATACATGTACCCCATTTCTGGGCCTAATATGCCCTAATGTAAGGAACTGTTCCATACCATGAATGGTCTGGGGAAAATGAAACCACTTTGAACACTATGACTCGAACTGGTCGGCCCGACTGGTGGAACTTGGTGCCTTTGAGGCCGTGGTGGGGTGGTTTGACTTGCTGAAGCCCCTGGGACAAAAAATGCAACAAGCATCAACAAATTAAAATATGTTATATATAGAGTTGATTTGATACCATTCCATTCTCTCATATTCTCCCCATGCGGTTCGTAGATGGTTTCTAATATATAATATGTTGCTTTATGCTGCTTTTCATGCGTAAATCCCATATGATGTGACTTGCTTCGATCCCGGCGCTCCATCCCTTCCTTTTTTCGTCCAGAGGTGCTGACACATCCCACGATGCTCGGCACGAAGCCCTCGGCCTCATCGGTCAGGGTCTTCGCGGGGCGCTCCTTCACTTGCCAAACCAAATTCCTCGGAGGGGTCGCATGGAGAACGGGCCCAGCCGAAATCGGGGGCACTTCGGGTGCGAAGGAGGGCCGGCATTTCAAGCGAAAACATGACCACAAAGCATCGGTCCATTCTTTGGCATACCATCAAGCGGGTATATACTTAATCATTACGGGTACCTCTCAGTTCTATATATATATATATACACCATTATATATACCTAAAGTGGCCTGGAAGTATGTCATCATGCATCAACCACATACCGAATCCCCAGACTTTTCAATCCCACTCAAGGAGAAACTTCGAACCTGAAAGCGATCTGAAGAAGTGTCCTCCAAACATACTGGCTGAAAATGGATGAGATGTCTCCTCTCAAGTGCACACAGGAAAAACAACTCTCTCAACAGATCTTGATGCCCGCCAAGATGCAGGTTCGAGAGCAAAAAAACAAATCCCAAGATCAAAGCGATGAAGAAGTACTCGTAGCAACCTGTCACACTCAGAATTACATCTCGAAGGCCAACACATACAGGGTCTTGTGAGTGGAAATGAGCAATTCATACATATTCATAACAAACCAATCCCCTGAATTCATTTACAGGACCCACGTTTTTTGTTGGAGCCGAAACGTGCGATGGAGCTGAACCGTTTAGTTCAGACCGAGCTGACCAGGTCACGTCGATGGGATCGGTGGCCCAGCCCTTGGACGCCGCTACTGAGAAACCCCCCATGCTCATGGGAACAGTCTGAGGCTTTCCCGCCGTGGAAAGAGGCTGAACCTCGTTCGGGAGCTCTTTCTACAGGAGGATCCAAACAAACAAAACGCAACAGCAAAGAACAACTGACTGGTGATTTCAACTCACTTGAATCATCAGTCAGTGGGATCAATCATATCCCAAAACAAATCTCATGGCAACTCGTCGACACCTCGGTTTTTCCTGGGCTTTTTGGAGCCTCTCCCCCTTCTTCGGCCAGCCCAGAAAAAGCTGCGCCTGTTTCGGGGCTTGAAGCACAATTCGTCTCGCCCAGCGTTGGCAAGCCCTGTCCCAGCAAAATGCCGATGCAGCCAAAGAATTCCATCCAAGACCACACCATCGTTCCTCACTCCCGCATGTTGGTTCGGCGGCTGGCTCTCACACTGCCGACGTGTGCGGCAACCCAGTTGGAAATTCCAAGCAACGCCTACCAAAGAGCAGCATTCCTTCATACCCCAAATCTCAGTCGAAGTGTTTGCAATCCAACAAGGCTCGTTTTTGCCGCTGATTTCGTACAGTTACCACAATTTACCAAACTAGAGCCTCCTGTGAAAGGAAGGAGTATACACATGTATGTATACTGTATACCGAATCCCGAAACAGAATGAGCCTATTTTTGTTGTCACAAATAGAATGATGAACGATCATGAAGTGCCTGGGCCTAGAGCTGAACCAAAAGGCTGGTGATTCAGCCGTATTCTGGGGGGCTAAAGTCTGCCTGGTGCGCATGAGTAACACAGCCTTTGCGGTGAGTCTTGTGATGGAGCATAACATGGATACCTCAAAAGCAAGACACAGGCAGTGAAACATGCACAAACCCTTCAAGGTCCCCTCAAAATGGTCCAAAAGTGGAACCTCCAAAAATAAGACCTCCATCCCTTTCACTTTCGTCGGCTCTGCTGCAAGAGAACAAGGCACCTTCCCTTCCATCACCTGTTCGAGCGTTGTCTCCAAGGGGCGTTCCTTGCCATCGGGGGTCAGCTCCACTAAGAGAGCACCCTGCGGGATTTGCTGCAGCGAGTTGCTCACCACAGTGACCTGAGAACAACCGCATGCCGCATGCCGCATGCCACCAAGTGTTGTGGGGAATTCGTCCGAACGAAGTTCGGGGAAGCGCAGAAATACAAAGACAAAGAGTGAGTCGAAATATGTCAACTTCTCCAAGAATCTGGCCGATGGGACCTATACCAGCACTGACTAGCTCCACCCAAAGCCTGTTTTTGATGGAATATGTATAGTGAGTGGGGTCTATAAACCACCTGAACTTATATCATCATCATTCCACCCACGCTGGACAAAATGCAGCGCTTTGAGCTCTCCAAACAAGGACTCCTTGTGGGAAATGATTTCCTCTCGACTCCAATGTTCCAAGATGTTACTAGTAGCAATGCACTTGTTTCTACTAGCGAACATTGTTACTACTAGTAAGGCACTTGTTACTACTAGCGTGGCACTTGTTACTAGTAGCTCAAATCAGTCCTGTGATGTCCTGCGGCCGACCCTTCTTTCTCTTGCCACTGACGAGGCCGACACTTGCTCGTTATCCGTCGATGAGTTAACGATGAGATCATTGCGTCCGTGATCAGAAGCTGAGTGAGACAATTCACTCAGCGATTCATACGCAAGTTCGACGCAGCTGAGATGACTCCCAATTTCCGGAAGCATCTACAAAATCATTCCTCAAATACCCCCTTAGGGGGAATTGAAAAAAAACAGTTGTATTTGCCTGTATTCTCGAGAGGCCAGTGTCTTATATAAATAAAGAAACTAGCTTGACATCTGCCCTGAACTTGTGGTGGATGCACTGCAGGTCTGGAAGAACAGTAAATAGCACGCCCTGTCCCTACAACTGTTGCATCAAGCTTGGCCAAAACAGCTGGTGTCAAGAAACAACATGAACTACACTCGGGAAGATTAACATGGAACCTGACAATGGACGTTTGGAGGACTACTTTCCTCTACGACCCGGTGGTTTACAGGTTCCATGTTAATCTTCCAGGGCGTACTGGAGTCTTCCCAAGTTTGCTTCAGGAGAAACTGGAAGTGTCCGGTGTTGAGAAAACACAGCTGGTGTTTTGTTCAGAGATGTTATGAGCATTCCCTAGCCGCAAGAACGGCATGCCCATCGGCCGCAGTGCTAAAATCAAATCAAGGGGTGCACACAGAATCACATCCAGGATGCTCCGAACGATTTCTCTCCATTTCACACATCCAAATACAACCAGCTCACCCGAACCGAGCGGGAGAACCGGTGAAACAGGACCCGTCAAAGGCCCAGTCTGATCCAGCGCCACATAGGGGTGAAATTCGGAAACTTGGAACCGAGAGCGCGCTGAAGTTGCGAGGAAAACGTCAAGGTGTTTTCACTGAGTGCCGGAACTCGTCTTCGTGGTGCTAGGCCTCCTGGCACCAGTCCATTTCTTGTAAAAGAAAGGGGCCAATAGTGGTCAAGCGTAAGGTATTCCAAAGCTAGCGCTGATCTACTTGGACTTACTAAAGAACTATACAGTATATATTATATATATATACCATCAAAGAAAACTCACGAAAGAACATCCAAACACAGTTTTCGCGTTATCATGCGTTATCCTACACCTAAAAGAACTCTGGTCATCTGCATTGGCCTGTTTGGAACGTCCCTGTCCTCGCGGATGTCGTCCAGAATCCCCTTGACCTCTTGAATCCTCTCTTCAGACCGATTGGTGCAGGTACTCTTGCGGCTGACCACACCTTAGGATTGAGCAAAATCCCAGCACCGCCAGGAAAATGAGAATGGTCTATACCAGGTCCATCCAATGGGTGTCCAATGGACTACCCTACGCTACTGTGTAGAGATGTCCATTGGACACCCATTGGATATCATTGGGTGGTCCAGGTACCAGTCCGGTCTGTTAGTCTAGGTCTGCAGCTAAACTAAAAAGTTTCTTTCGGACTCTTTCCTCCTCCATCAAACTCACCAAAGGAGAAACACCAAACGAAAAATCTACCGCGATGCTTCACATGTTTAAGTCGTTCTCAGTTGTTTTACCTGTTTTATAATAAGCCGTTAATTTATGTTAATTTAAGCAAAAAGACTAGTCTACAACAAAATAAGAAAAACACTGCTAACTAACCCAACCCGGACGCTCCACTTGCTGTCACGTCGGAGTCCCAGCCTCCGGCCCCGCTTCGCTTCGGCCGTCTCGATGTCATCTCCGAAGCCCACGCGACGGCAAAAGCCCATGGTGTAGAAGATGAGGATCAAGAAGGAGACCACAGTGCTGAGGAAGAATGGGGCCTCACTTGCTGAGTTGGGCGGATGTTTTTTGGGGGAGCTGATGGAGCCAGCTGGAGCGCCAGCTTGGCAGTCGGGGAGTCGGGGAGCCTCACTGCGTGGGCGGATCAATTGGGGGGAGCTGATGAGCCCACGCAGCTGGAGTCGAGCACCAGCGTGGAGTCGGGGGCTATCACACCGAAGAATTGGAGTCCTTTTTGGCCCCGAAAAGGCATTCAAAGAAAAACATCTCCAATCCCGGCCAAAAGTTGTCTTGAGTTTTCCAAGGAGCGAAGGGCGAGACCTCATCGTAAAGCCAGGTGGCCAAAAAGCTCGAGATACAGCCACCGAGGGCATCGGCATTCTTACCATAGACTTGAAGAGATAGGAATACTGCACTGTCGCCCAAGGAGTAGAATAGGTTGAGGTCTGTGGTGAATTTGGAGGTATAAACGTACACCGTTCCCATGAAGACTTGGGCTGTTACTGCCAAGGGCAGGAAAGGGCTTATCATCCCCATGTTGAACAGGATCCAGAAAGCCAGGAGCCAAGAGAGATTGTAGGGCTGCGAGATTAGATTTCGCCAGAAAGTCCTGCATGCAAATAGCACTCACAACTGCATATCAAAAGTTATAACTTTTGAATGTGAAATTCACCCGTCCCTCTGTGCTGGTCATCTATCTGTAGCGCAAAAAAACTGCACCCGCCACCTGCTAACAATGCAGAGCGGATCCAACAAGCTACCGGAGGTCATGTCCAAAATAGCATATTTGGGCTACTAAATGCTACTAGTAGCGTCCTTGCTACTAGTGGCGATGGCCTCCACCTAATAGCGATGGCCTCCAACCTAATAGCATTTCGCACCCACAAAGGCAAAGGCCAACCAGTCTGTGCCATGCTACGTTACCCTCCATCCCTCTGTCCCACGTGCTGTCAGTCTGGGCTTTTGGTCATGCTTGGTCTGTATGGTCTGGTCTGCCCTCGCCCGGTATAATGTTTTGTTTTTTATACTTTTCTGTCCGTCTGTGCTTTGTGCGTTCTGTCCTTTTCTATCATTTTCTTATGTTTATGGTTGCTTTTACTGTAATTGTTTCTTCATTATTGTTGTTTTTCTTCATGTATATTTGTTTCTTTGCTTGCTTGTGCTTGCTTTCCTTCCTTCCTTCCTTCCTTCGTTCCTTCTTTGCCTGCTTTCTTATTCTTTCTTTCGCTGTGCTGCACTGCCAGTGAAAAGTCCTGTCGACCCCATCATCCACACTTCCTCCCAAGATTTTCATCATCACCGCCGCAATGAGGTCCCCTGAGGTCTGAGCAATACTGGCGAAGGTGGCGGAATTCCATCCATGGTGTTCCTCCAAAAAATGCCACGAGCATGGACAGTCAGAATTCCTTGGGGGTAAAGACCGGTGGAGACCGTCTAAGAGTCTAAGGGCTACAAGAACCAAACTCTGCAACATCAAGACTGCTGCTAGCCGTAGCCAACTCTGCTCCTTGAAGAAGATTGCAAATGTCGCAAACTCTGTGTTGTAACTGAAGGTATTGTTGAAGCAGCAAAGCACCAACAATGCCGCTGGAAGCCTCAGGATTGATTGATCGAAGTCGAGGGAGGGGCTGCACCCTTTGTGCAAACAGAAGAAAAGCCGAGACGAAGAACAAACTGAGTCACATCTTCCAAGGGGAATCTGCTTAATTAAATGGCATTAAATGAACATAATGAGAGAATGAATGTTGAAGCTTGAGAGTAAGAAAAACACAATATTATCATATTTGATATCCAATTGGACCTTCCAAGATTGTGGAAAGACCTCCAAAGGCACAGGAGAAACTATTTTTGTCTTGGAAGCTCCCCTTAATTCTGGGATTTATAGCTTCTTTACTCGCTTCACATTTCACCTAGGGACCTATAGCTCTTCCAATGGGTGTCCAACAGACCTCTAGCCTCTAGACTCTAGTCTCTACCCTTCCAATCCTTTCCGCTTCGAAAAAGACACTTCCCAGCCTTAAGTCCTTTGGAAGGCCGCCCTTGGTACTCTTGGTCTTCCCCACGATGGATCGGCCCTCCGACTCCTGCGTTCCCTCGGTGCGCTCGGTCAGCGCCGTGAGGACACTCTGCCGCCGCACGGGGTCTGCACCGCCGGTGCGCTGCGCCACGCTGGGGCGCAAGACGTTGCTGGCGCCGAAGTGATGTTGAAAGTTGTCGCTGAAGGAGGACAAGGCGGAGAAAGCCTGTTGAAAGTTGTGGCCCGATGGATGACAGAAACAACAACAAACATATGGAGATTGCGGAAGTCGTCTTTGGGGGTTCCCATTTCCACCCCGTAGAAAAAGTCCAGAAAACCCCGCATTTGCACCAGGGAACACTGCTTCTGCTCATCTGGCTTCCGCGGGTGTGACGAGCTACGCCTGACACACCTGAAGCTTGAGATTGTCGCAGAGCCCAGGACGTTTGAGAGGCTCGGTTCATGAGCATGGTGGCACGTGAGACTTGCGATTCCCTTGCCGCACCAGCAAAGGAGGCCATGGACCCACGTCCGGACACCACCGTGCCACGAGCGGCTCCGCCTGTGGACGCCACGGTACCACGATGGCCTCCGCCTGTGGACATCAGGGTGCCGCGTGGGGCCCTAGAACCGCGAGCTGTGCCACCCTGTGAGGCCATTGACCCACGCAGACCTGCTAATTTCGGACGAGCCGTTCCACTTTCCGTTCCACCTTGAGAGGCTGGTCCAGCACCAGCAGCACTAGCAGCACTAGCTCCAGCCCCAGGAGTCTCCACTATGGGGGGCACGGGCGGAGGCAATGGGATGTCTTGAAGCTCCTCCACCTCCAAGTCCTCAACCACAGGCTCTGGCTGCCCAGGCAGTTCGGCTGCCGCGGCGAGCGCTGCGGGGCCTGCTTCTTTCTTGGTGGGAGTGGATTCCACAGGCAAAACGCCGGTGAAGCCTGCCGTGGTGATCTCCTCGTCCTCCTCATCTTCCAGCTCCTCGGGCTGCGGGAAGAAGAACTCTTTGAATGATAGGAGGCACATGGGCTGAGTCACGAAAAGTAACAAAAGGCAAGCTTGACAAATGGCATGGAAGGTGGACATGCCTTGCCAGCCAGCGAGATCATAAATCACACCACCAATGGTAACGGCACTTGCCACTGAGATCGTAAAGCAAGCGAGCAGTGTAGAAGAGGCCTGGCGGGCCAAGTTTTCCGATAGCCCAAACACATCAAAGGCTAAGCCTTCAATGGTAATGGCGGAATCCAAACACTGCAAGCATGCAATCTCTACGATCACGGCCCACTCTTCGGTGGTGTAGAAGATTCCAAGGATGGCGGCCGTGAGGTGGATAATTCCCAAGGGAACCATCACCCAAAAGCCGGCTCTCAGCTGCACTTGCTGAAACACCGCACGGAAGGCAAAACCAATGGCACACCCCACACCTGATCGGGCCTAGATTGTGGAGAGGATCGCGGAAGAGATAGGGAGAGTCCGATAGCAAAATAAGAAGAAACCAAAAACCAGAATCAAAACCCTATGGATCCACTGCCACCTCTCAGGTACGGTGATTGGAGTGGAGACACTGTACAGTTTGGAGGGTCCAATCAACTGAGATCAGTAGCCAAGTGATGCCAAGCGGCAATCGGCCAGCCCATGTCCTTGTAGTGGAGCGACAGTCCGGACCAACTAAAGCCATTGATCAAGCCATTCAGCGATGGCATCAAAATGCAAATTGCCACCTGAAGCGTTGGAAGTGTCCCTGTCACATGTCATATTGAACTATTCTCCAGTCAGAAAGTACAAACACAGCAAACACCTGCTCCGCCGGTCTGGCTGTGGACGTTCTGCAAGCGCGTTCGGTCTCCTTTGGGATGGACCGAGTCCACCCGTCCAGTCGACGCTTTCCGCTTCCCGCTGTCCGTCCAGGTCGCTGGTTCAGAGACACCGGTGATTGGATGTCGCACCTCACCCAAAGAACAGGAGTGACCTCTGACCAGCACCAAAACACCTCCCTCCACGGACGCTGTATACCAACAGTACAATATACGCTGGCTGCCGAGTCACGTAGCTCCAGGACCATTCAAGAATCTCCTCTTCCTCCTCCTCCGGCTCCTGTTCTTCAAACGCCTGCTCCTCGTTCGCATCCTCTGCAATGACCACTGGCATGGTGAGGGTCAGCTGCTCCGCTTCGAGTTTGCTTCGTCGGGCCAAAATGGCTCCGAGGTGCCCGCGCGTTGAAAACGCAGATTGACAGGCTGCAAGTGGTCAGGGCCTGAAGTCTCCTAAGCACCGAGACCATGGCACCAACAAAAACCAAACACCGTTGACACGTGTACCAGCCGTTGGACCGTTCCCAAGCCGGTGCTCTGCAGACCGACATGTCGTGCCTTTGGGCATGCACACCCACACACATACATGCACACACATCCACCCGCCACGATCCGCCACGTATCCTTCACACGCATGTGGACCTCAGGACCTCTGGATCTCGCAAAGAGCAAAAGAACCACGCGAAGGAAGGCGACGAACAGGTGACGGTGACGCACTCAGGTCATGGCTAAGATGTAGAAGACGCCAAACCACACCTTAGAGATCCGCAAGTGAAGGAACATCAACAACCCGGGCTGACAACTGCGCCTGCGTTTTTGCGTTTTTTTGGGTCGTCAACCTTCAACCAGTGGGTTCAAAAACCTCTCAAAACCTGCGTTTCGGCACATTCAACTAACAAACATCTACTACTAGCGCGGTTCTCAGCCCGCTAGCATAAACAACTGTACAGAACATGATAGAGGTAAGTTCTGTCTTTTTGTTATTCTCCCAAGATCTTTTCCGACTTGATCTGCGTTTGTCTAAAACTTGGCTCTTCACCTTTGGCCCCAAACCGGCCTCTTGCAAAACAACGGCCTAAAATGCTGTTCTCGTGCCCACCACTGGCTGACATCAGTTGCTAAATCACTGACACCAATGGCTCTCCAACACCCCCGGAGCACTCCGAATGTCGAGGCACTGCGGAGCCCACGGAATTGAAGATGGGCACATCGGCCGTGGGCGAATTGCCATTCCTCCCAAGTAGGAGGACAAACTCCCAAACACCAAAAAGGGGCCATCAGGTCGGGGGGGGTTCATGAAATCCCCGGGTGTTTGAGATCGGAGTCATCATCTATGACCCGTCCATATGGAGGAATTCCCAACAACGCCTCGCATCCCAAAGTGGATCAGGTTTCCCACTGCCATGACTGGATCCTTTTGATCCCTGACCCACGAAACCTCTGTGTGGATCAGTCTTCCGAGAGGGACGGGTAATTCTTGGACTACTGACTACTGCACAAGTCATACCACGATGTTCATTATAATATATATATATATATATATATCATATATACATACATACATACATACATACATACATACATGGCTCAAGCTGTGAGCGGTTCAAGGTGGCACACCCTCATAGAAGCCCACCTAGTGCGGCACCCCCTTGCACCACGTGTGCACTGACACCCTCTTCTGGCTCACCGCCACAGCATTCCTCCTGGGCAAGCGTCCTTTGCTCGCAATCTTGGACTTCACCTTCCACGCTCAAGAGGAGCTCTTTGGCAACCGGCAGGTCTCGCCCTTGTTTTCCTCTTTGGCATCCAGGACCAGTCCAACTTTCTGGCCAACGACCTTCGGGACAACCTGTACTACAGCTTTGCCCGTGATCCCTACAAGACACCGAACCTTCCAGGCCAGTTCGCAGAGCACGAGGGCATCCTCAAACCATGGCACCAACCAACTGGTGCAGATCCTACACCGTGTGCACTGCCAAGCAATGCACCAACTGGATCTGGGATGACAAAAAGAACCCCGGCACTAGGTGCAGACGCTGCGGCACCTGGTGGTCACAAGGCTCTGCACCCACCGGCAAAGGCAAAGGCCATGGGCAAGGAAAGAAAAGCTCCAGCAACATCGCCTGGACCAAAAGCTCGAGCACCGATGCTCACTTGGAGCCACCGCCGGGTTTGCACAAACTCAAGCCTTTGAAGAAGACCAAGAACCAGCAAACGGCTGCTGAACTGTTGGCCACTACATGGGACGTCATCCCCAATGAGATCCAGACCAAGCTGGCAGCTTTAGGATTGGCACCTCCTACACCTGCAGAACCAGGCCTCACGGAACTCCTGCAGACGCACCTGAATGCGCTTCCACAACCTGTGCAAGACATCGTCAACAAGCTCAGCCAGCCCATGCCGGCCACAGAGAAGGACCTGGCTCAGCAGCTCAAAACCCAGGTTACTGAGCTGAAAACCATCTCAATGAAGAAGGCTCAACTACAGGTCAAACTGGACCAGACGAAGAGCCAATATGCGGCAATGCTCCAAGACATGCAAGAGCACCAGGCCCGACTCACTGATGGACAACAAAAGCTGAAGACATTGTCCGAAAAGTACATGCAGGCGGTCAACAAAACACCACTGCCAGAAGGACTAGCCACGGCTGCAGAGGCTGAGCTTCCCATCCCTATGGCAGTTGAGACGTTTGTCAACAGCTTAGGAGTCACTCCGACAGAAGATCAGCGTTCCCAGCTCCAAGGCCTCCTGAAAAGACCAGGACAGGACGCTGAAGATCCTAGCAAGCGCAGGAAAACTGAAGTCATTGTCCCTGCAGAGTCACCCGGACATTGTGGGTAACAGGAGATCAGCCATGCCGGGCTTTCAAGGGCTTGAGGTGCCGATACCCCTTGATGAATTTGAAACGGCATCATCTCCAAATTCGGTTTGGCGCGCTGCCTCAAGCACAGCATCGGCAAGGGGACAGCAAGTGACACACTGTGCAGGGGACCAGACACAGCAACACTTGCACAATCCAGTTCCACAACCCAATCTTTCCAGGGACCCCTCTTACAAGAGTGAAGGGGAATACACTCTTGACCTAGAGGTTCAGACACTCACCCCACAGGTGAACAATTTTGGTTTTACCGTCTTTGAAGCGGGCGCTGATGGACCTTTGCTCGGCGCACCAGGGCCGGACGTCATCAAGATCCACGGAGGAGCCAACTCCAAAGAGCAGCGCAAACAGCGCGGCCCCAAAGTGAGCATGCAGGTTTCGTATGCTTCAACAACGGAGTGCATCTTGCAGAACCTCACCATGAAGGTCGGCAACCCCAGTGCCCGGTGCTTTGCTAATGCCCCCTGGCGTGCATTCACCTGGACATGTGCACTTTTGCAAGAAACCAACACCCACCCATGGGGCAACCTGCAACCAGCAGTCCAAGAATCCCTGGAGTTGGCAGACGCGGTGGATCTGCTACAGCTGCCAGGTTTGCACCCACTATGGAACAAGCACGACCTCAATGTGCAAGGAGATGCAAGCCATTTCGTCAACACCCTCTGGAACCTCTCTCAGACTCGAGCGTTCCATTACAGATTTGCCGAAATCCAAGAAGGGGGCTACCTCAAGGACCACATCCAACAGCCCATCCTGGTGGATTTCCCTGATGACTGGCCGGAAAACTCCACCTTCCAGGATCTATACAATGGATGGGCAAACCAAGGGCTGGGTCAATTTCTGCTGGATGATAAGCCGGTGCTCATTTCCCATGTCACCCGCAACACCTGCGTGGGAGGCATCACCACCAAGCATGGCAAGATCCTCAATCCTTATGGCACGTTTACCGTCCCAAAGTCCCTCGATGGCTTTGCCAGATCCTCAGCCGAGTTCGTGCCAGCTGCCCTGATATGCCACAGGGGCACCAGCCATGACAGCGGCCACTACTTCGCCATTCTCATCTACAGAGACTTGATGTGGCTAGCAGATGATGGCAAACCACCAATCCATTTGGACCACCTCACGCCACAGTTGGCCAGCCAGGTGACACAAGTATGGGCAGTCCATGTTGACACCTTCAGAACATCACAACAAGTGCTCCGTTCACTGCCCAGTCCTGAGGAACCGGACTATGACCCACCCCTCCATCCGAGCCCAGACAAACGGGCACGTTTCGAGCAGGAGCACAACCAAATCCACTTTGCCAATATCACCAATTTTGGCAAACAAGTCCTGGACTGGTACTGGTCAAGACACAGTGAAGTGCACATCTTGGTCGAGACACACCTGGATCCACAGAAACACCAACAAACCTGCCAATATTTCACGGTCAGAGGGCGCACAGCATTTGGCACACCAGCTCAACCAAATGCAGACAACACAGGCACTCATGGAGGCATCCTGATCTTGGGAGATCCCTCCTGCGGCCTCACACCACTTGAGAACTACTCCCTGCAAGGCTGTGGCTACCAGGCCTTCTTATGGCAGGCCACTGAATGCACCATCCTAGTGGCAGGAGTGTACTTGAAGACGGGCGAAAACATCCAAACCGACACCAATGCCACGATCATCAGCAGGCTATTAGCTCTGGTTGAAGCAACTGCTCATCCCTACATTCTGCTGGGCGATTGGCAAAACAGTCCAAGCAGCTTCACGAGCACGGTCCTTCCTTCCAAGTTTCATTTTGAAGTCTTGGCACCGGATCACAGCCTGCTTTCTGGCAATGTCATTGACTACGGTCTGGTGCACCAAAGCCTAGCCAGCACCACGGCCATCACCACGGAGTGGGGAATTCCTTGGAGACCACATGCACTCCTTACCCTACACCTCAACCTGGAGGCAGCAACCAAAGAATACAGACAGATCCAGTACTTCCCGCCCATGCCGACTACGCCTGACATTGATTTCAGGCCCTGGACCTCATATCAATCCCAGGCCTATGAGCTTGAACTCTATGGCAATCCGCCCAATGATCCGGCAAAACAATGGGCGGACTCAATCTCATGCACCGAGCAATACTTGCTCCAGGAACACCCATGGGCAGCACAAGGCAGAGGAGCTACCCTCCAAGTGGTCACCAAACCACTGATCCCCACCAAAGCCACCACCACGTGGAAAAGGGGAAAGCCAGCTTTCTGGGAACAACTGAAAGTGCGATTCCAACTGGCCATGAAGCAGGCAGCCAACACCACAGCAGGACCTATACGCGGCTTTGGGCAATCTTTTTTTTTCACCCTTGAACCCTTTTTTTTTCACCCCGCCCTTTTTTTTTCCACCCTCAACCTTTCTTTTTCACCCTCTGAACCTGTTTTTTTCACCCTCGAACCTTCTTTTTTTC